GGGGGTACTGAAATTTACAATTTACATAAAGCCCTTGATGATCTTTCCATCCATGCAGAGAAACTGACTGTAGTACCTCCGAGTCCATCATTGTGCAGAAGAAGATCCTCATCTGCCAAGGATGATTCTGACTAAGTTAAAAAAAAAAGCAAAGCTCAGGTGACCTAAAAACTACTACAAAATTGACAATTTGTTCAACCTTTTAATGGTGAAAATTAAATACAGGAAATGTTCCGTTCGAATTATTTCAGCATGTCTCAGACAATTTATAACATCTGTGTGCTTTTTAAATTGAAAGCTTGAAATTTCATGAAATATTTCAATATACACGATGCACTAGAATCTGCATATAAGTAATTAAAGAAAAGAATAGAAGAATTTTTTTTTCCATTGCTTTCTATATTTATCCATATTCTCTTTATAAGGAACTCTAATGCAATTTTTGTAAACCTCCAGGAAAATGGCTTCATTATGAAGATTTCTGAACTTATAAATTCACACTGATGTACTAAGTATGGCAGTGTGCCCGAGGCAACAATAGAGACTGGAAGTCCCACTGTTAAAAAACAATGTGTGTGTTTAGACGACTGTATTGGTCTACCACTTTTGTAGCACTATTAATTTTTGATGAGAATTATGATGGTCAATGGAGCTTGTGTACCATCTCCTCCTTGGTAATGAGGTGATTTGTCTTGTTGACAAGTTGCATCAGTGTGGTGATGTTGTGGGACCAGTCATTGAGAATGTCACTTGGGTCCTTTTGGTGGGTGAAATTCACTATACCCGCCATGCGATCCATCTTGGCTTGAACAGTCTTGTTCACAACAAGGTTGGACAAAAATTCTTCAGATTCCTAAAAGTAGACATTACATTCTTAGTCACAGTCATATATATATTTATATATATACATTTCTAACCATTAACAGAAGCTTGAAACAACTTTCTCCTTCCTCTGTGTATGTCAGATGTTAGTTACATGGTAACTCTTTTTCATTTTTTCCCTTCAAATTAGAATACTAGCCTAATGCCATCCCAAATTCTACAGCTTGGGAATCAATCACAAATAGCAACAAAAAATATTAACCATAAATGTTAATATCTTACCGCTTCAGACTGGTCCAGAAGATCAGCAATTCTCTTGGTCCTCACACGGGTATAGTATTTGGCCATCACACGAATATTCTAAAATACATCATTACACAATTACTTTTAGATTCATTCTTATATATTCCAAATTTTTACACTCCTTCACATGATATAATGGTATGTATCAATCTCATATTCAGCAAAAAGCATTTATAGTGACAAACTGAAATAAAGCTCAACATGTTTATGAGCAGTTCACTTTTGTAAATTCTACATCATAAAGCTCATCCAACCTCTTGTGGTATGATGTTTAACCCTTTTTACTGACAGCACTGAAACTTCAGATACTTTATGAGCTTTTTATTCCTTTGACAATGTCTGTTACTCACATGTTCTACAACTCTATTTTTTAGGTCTGCCCAGCGTTTTGCTCCCCCTTCCAGCTTTGTGTTGAAGACGTGGGTAGCTGGACTACTTGTGGAACCAAACTTTAGCTCGCTCTCATATGTCAGACACAGCTGCTTCCATGTGATCAGCTCTGACGTCGTGAAACAATTTAGAAGCTCTCTGCAGAGTAAAACTGGGTGTAATTAAGACAGAAGTGTCACAAAATTCATTTTCAAGGAAAACAATTGACAAAGATATTCCTGCAACAACATGGCCAATAAAATATTGAAATGAAAATTACATGCAAACGTGTGTACTTGATGTAAAACTATGAACATATATGATGACACACTTACTGGTATTTGGCAATTTCTTCCAGATTTCTGTCTTCCTTGACTCTGTGTATGAAGTCTGACTGCTCATTATCGTAGGGTGCCAGTATCACATACAGTACTACATAACGCAGAGCCTGCAGGTCAAGGGTCAAAAGTCTTTATTCATGATCATTGTACTGTAGTCTAAAGATAGGATGAATTCAAACTTTCTAGATATAAACAAACTAATCTGCATAACCCAAAAGTAAATCTATATAACACAAAAGGTAATATGAATTACCTAAAAGGTAATCTATATTACCAAAAGGGTAGTCTGTATTACCATGCACATAACATCCTAGCCAATAATCAAGTTGTAAGTCTCAAACACAGAGATCAATTAACATGTTGAGCTTTGAAAACTCTGAAAAAATGTTATATTGTAACTATTAAAAAAAAGAAAATCATATATCCCTGTACTGAAACATTTTAATGCAAAATTTGTACGTAATGGAAATCAAAACTAGCATTTGACCAATTATGAGAAAAATCAATAAATATACTATAAACTCCCAACACTTTTTTGTTAGTAAATCAGTTAAAAAACCAACATCAAGCTGTACCAAGTTTTTTCTCTCTCCAGCAAATCAATGATTTTAACCTGATGGTGATTCACCTAATTCCAAGGACTAGTATGTTTTTCAGTATGAATTTGAATGAATATGAGAAACTGACTCCTAATATTACTCCGTGTTTCACTGACCTATGACTTGAGACAAGTGTGTTGTGCTTACCTCCCTCATTTTGTCTTTGTTTTCTTTGATCTCTGGTGTATCATATACAGCTTTGTAATGTTTACAGATTGCAAGGTAGGATCCCTCATGTTCGTCAAGCTCAATCATCAACTGGTAATATTTCAACTTTAGCTCCTGAAAGTACACAGTCAAATATCAGTATCGTGTTGTTTTATAAGTGTACAACAATCTACTTAATCAACCTAAACATGTAACTTATTGATAACACGAACTATATCTCTGTGTTACATGTTGATACTGTAACACAATGTAGATCTGAGTGTTACATATTGATAATACAATATAGATGGGTTTGGTTTGGTTTAGTATTGTTTAACGTCTTATCAACAGCTAT